CCTTGACCACTGAGCACGGCCCCTCTGGGTCGCACTCCAAGCGAAGGAAGGGGTTTCAAGCTTTTTCCGAGCCCTTCTCCCAGGACCCCTCAAAGGAACCCAGGTGTCCTCCAAGGAAGCCCTGGGGGGGCGGAAGCTCGCCCCCCTTCCTGCCCGTGACTTTCCCTGGCCATAAACATTTCTGCAGCTCAAGCGCCTCCATCGAAGGCCCAGTGTTAATTTGTTAAATCCACATCAAGGTCCCAAGGACCCTTTGTTTATTTTTGTGATCCTGTTGGCAGAGACCACGTGGGGGTGGGGTTTGCTTATTTGGTCAGAATAAATGCTAATTAATAAAAATCATTTATTTGGGTTGGAGCTCTCCGCAGCCCCGGGGTCAGGCGCAAACTGACTATTTGCAGCAAAAACAAACAGAGAGTGTCTCTCGACAGCTTGAGAAAGGCAGCAACAGAGGGGCTGAGTTTATTTGTCTTACGAAGAATTTGCAGTTAATTCCCTCCAGACTATTTAGACCCTTAAAATACACGGAATAAGAAAAACTGTGGGTGCAGGGGCGGGCGGGGAGTGCGCCATCGTTTGGTCAGAGCAGAGCGTGGCCCGCAGTCGGCCCAAGAAACAGTGTGAGTGGAGTAACAATGGCAGAGACCCACACAGTCTTCTCGCTGTCATAGGACAGGGACGATGTGACTTGGGTTAAGGGAGAGAGCACAGACCTCCCCCTCCTGAGAGTGCTTGCCTTGTCACTCCTCACCCCTAGCCCCGTCCTGTCCTGTCCCACCCGGCACAACAGCATGGGGACTGCCCTGGGGACAGAGGCAGGGGTCTCCGCTTTGTTCTGAAGGTCGGGAAAAGCAAAAGGCTTATTGAACAGAAGGGAATCGGGGCTCAGCCCCGCCAGGACAGGGGAGGCCGCCAACCCCCCATGTGGGAAAAGCGGGAGAAGGCAGAGGCCGAGGGCAGAGGCCCAGTGGCCTGAGGCTCAGAGGGGATTTGTTTATTTTCAAAATGCTGCAGCCCAAGCTGGAGTCCCCTGGGGCGTCCCCACGCCCACCACGGTCCTTCAGGAGGTGGCTCAGGAACTCCTGGTAACAAGTATCCGGCCCATTCATCCCCTGGAGGCAGACGCACCAGGGCCCTCTGGCTGGGGCCAAGCCGTGGGCTGGACTGCTGGGCCTCCGTCCTCACGGCCTCCACTCTGCCTCCCCCCGCTGCGGGAGCTGCACCCAGGCGTCCACCAGGGACCTGGGCTCGAGGAACGCCCTGTCCTGGGGTCCCACGGAGCACAGCTCTGAGGGCACGCGGGGACATCAGGCAGGGACCAAGCCTGCAGCAGCCAGCTCAGGCAAGCTCCTGGCGGTGACGAGCCACTGTCCCCCAAGCTCCCGCAGTGGGGGCTTCCTGTGGATGGGGCTGCACAGGGCTGGCGCCTCTGCTGGGCATTTCTGCACCCAGGAGATGATGTCACCTTGACCTCGGGCTCTGAGAGCTGAGATCGTGGGGAGACAGACCCCGGCGCCTGGGAGCAGGGTGGCGGGAGCAGAGACCCTGCAGAGATGGGCTCCTTGCAGCGTGGATCCAACCTGCGGGTGCCCTCGGTGAGGCTCTCGGGATTGTTTCCCTGGGTGTGCAAGGCTCACAGGGCGGGTGTGGGGAGACTTGGGTGGGAGATGTGGAGCGGGGCACAGGCCACTTTTGGGCAGGCACCTCCCCTCACAGCTGTCCTTGGGGACCGCAGGGAGCTGGCTTGAGACCTACTGGGGACCCCAGCAGGGTAGGGGGCTCTGTGCTGGTCAGGGGGCAGCAAATGCCACCCTTTGCGTGAGGGCGTTGGCTCCAAGTGGCCGCCCCTTCACTGCAGGGTGGCACTGCTTGCCCCAGCAGCCACTCGGAGACGCCGGGGCTGAGGATGGTTTTCCTTTAAACACCCCCAGTTTTGGGTTGCTCAGAAACTTCCCGAAAAAGTCTCCTTTTTTGGCTGAAATGCCTCCTGTGCTGGGCGTGTGCCCAAGCAGCACTGCCCCAAGGAGGGCGGAAGTCAGCTCCGGGTGGCTGGCGTTCCGGAAGCTTCCATCACTGCCTTCGCCGTTGGACTCGCGGGTTTTCAGCGGCGGCCGAGCTGCGGGGTGTAGGGTTTCCGTCCAGCGGTGGTGCAGAGACTCGCGGGCACCGGACTTTCTCGTCCGTCTTCGCCTCCCCTTTGAGGCTAGGGGTGAGGAGTGACAAGGCAGGCAGGCTCAGGGGACAAGGCCAGCTCACGCGGGCCCCTCGGTGCTCCCTCTCCCCGCCTCTGCTTGTGCAAACAAGCGCCTGTCACCCCCCACCCAGGGCCTCTCGGCCTGGGTGCCATGGGCATTTTGAAGTAGATAATCCCTTGAAGTGGGAGCCTGTCCTGTGTTGCAGGGTATTTAGGAATAGATGAGGTGCCAAATGGGATCCATCGCCAGGCCTGGAATGTTCTAGAAGCTCAGTGAACCACTGCACAAAAGTCCAGCCTTGTGCAAAGAACATAGCCTGTTCCCCCCACCCCTTTCTACCTGCTAGGCAAGCCTCTGCTCTGAGCTGTCCCCAGCCCCGCATGATGTTCTTTGATGGAGGAAAGTGTCACCAGGGAAACAGAAAATACAAGGTACGGCTGAACTGTGGTCAGAACAGGCCCCACCCCACGGGTCAGAGCAGATGAGCACAGGCCGTGGGGGACTTGGCCACATCCAGCGTTTACTCACTGGCCCAGAAATTCCACGCCTAGGAACCTGTCCCAAATATGCACTGGCAGAAATAGAAGAGGCTGTTTGGACAAGGCTATTTCTTGCGGCATTCCTTAAGTTTCAAAATGCTGGAAACACGCCAAGTGCCCGTCAAGAGGGCTCTGGCTGAATAAGGCACAGTGCAGCCGCACACAGAGGAGAGGACGGAAGGGCTTCTAAGCCCGGGAAGAAAGGACGCAGGGTGACTCGTTAGCTGGGGATGAACAGTGCCTGCCTGTTTTCTATTATCAGAAAGACAGGGCAGCCGGGCATGGTGGTGCGCACACCTGTGATTCCAGCAGCTCAGAGGCTGAGGCAGGAGGATTGTGAGCCTCAGCAACTTAGCAAGGCCCTAAGCACCTTAGCGAGACCCTGTCTCAAAATAAAAAAGAAGAGCTAAGGATGTGGCTCACTGGTTCAGCGCCCCTGGGTTCAATCCCCAGGATCAAAAAAAAAAGAAAGAAAGAAAACAGTACACATATTTTACTATCCTTGGAAAAAGCAATCCAGGAAATGCAGCAAAGACTGATTAAAGAAATGATTCCTACAGGTGGGGAGAGGGGACAAGAGGGAAAATACATTTTGGGAAAATGATTTTTTTGCTGTGCTGAGACGGAAAGGTGTCCAGAGTGCTGTTGGACAAGGACAGACGCGGCAGAGCGCCAGCGAGCCCGCCGGATCTGTACCTGTCAGGTTTTAACATTTCTGTCATCTGCTAAACGGTGGGGCGGTGACGGGGACAGGGGAGCACTTTGCACCACTCCCCCCAACCCCTGTGCTGGTTGACTCTTACCGGGACACGCAGTGATATTACTTTGCTATTAAAATACACATTTTTAATGAGAAAATCGGACGTAGGAGGAATTGTGCCGAACTGCGCCGCGGCGTTGGCCCAGGCGCAGGGTGAGCGAGCAGATGGACAGGGCTCTGTGGGGTGCGGGCGATCAGGGGGGCTCCCTGGAGGAGGGGACGGTCAGCTGGGTCTGGGGGGACTTCTCTCCAGGATAAAATTTAAATGTGGAAAGAGTCACTGAACATCCCCTCCCTCGGACAGGACAAAGTGGCTGACCTTGTGCTTTCCCAGGGCTGTGCAGAATCCCCCCACAGAGCTGCTCAGTCTGCACCAAGGCTCAGCCGGGTCAGCCAGCTCCTTGCTGGGATTCACAGGCTGCCTCTGCTGGCCCTCTTGTGCCTTGCCTGGGTATCCTCCCCCACGCCGGTCTGTAGGCTCTTGCGCATCCTTCAAATCCAGTTCAAGAACATCTCTCACTGGGTGTAATGGTGCACACCTGTGATCCCAGCAACTAGGGAGGCTGAGGCAGGAGGATCCCAAGTTGAGGCCAGCCTCTGCAACTCAATAAGACCCTGTCCGTGGTAAAGTGCCTCTGGGTTCAGTCCCAGTACTGGAAAACAAAAGAAAGAAAGACACCCTCCAAGGCCCTCCCCTGACCCCTCCTCAGGGCCTCCCAGGGCTGTGCATGCTCACCCCTGGCACTGTGTGTCTGGATCCCAGCCAATGACGCCAATCGCCAGTACCCCCCGACACAAGGTGGGGCTCAGCACCCCCAAGGCTGCTCCCACAGCTGGTTTGGTTTGGGGAGCAGGATGAGGATCCTGGTGCCAGACTCCAGGGTTCAAATCCGTCCCCCACCAGTGACTTCAGGGGGCCCTTGAACTTGGGCCAGAGACCTCAGCCTCCACATCTTCCCTCCCCCTCTGCAAATCACAAGTGATGAGGCCCACAGCACCCGCCTCAGGTTCCTGTGGACATCCATGACCTGGGGGCTAGTGACCACGTGCCCCGGGTCCTCACCACCTTGGCCCCTGCAGCTCTTTACCATTTATTTTTTTTTATTATTATTATTATTATTATTATTATTATTATTCAATGACAGATGTGGAGGGAGAGCTTACTGTGCCCCAGAGCTGGGCCAGGCACTGGGGTCAATCAGGTGTCTCCTGGGCCCTGCTTGACCAGGTCACTTGTCCCTGATGGGCTCTTGCTGTGGCCCCAATTAGTTTGCTCAGACTGGGCTCCGCAGGCAGGGCCTGGCTGCTGCTGGTCACCATTACACCGGGGCCTGCCACTTGGTAGGTGCTCAGGAAATGCAGCTGAAGAATGGACAGATGGGTGGAGAGAAGCGCAGGAAACAGGGAGAAGGTTGGAGGCTGTCCCAGCCCCAGAGGGCGGCCAAGATGGGCAGTGCACACCGTGGGCCTCTCGCCCCTCTGCTGACCCTTTCGGCCTCTCCACAGGCGAGTGTCCCAGCCCCGGGCGAGGTGGCGCCGCCAAGCGTAAGAAGAAGCAGCGGCGGAACCGCACCACGTTCAACAGCAGCCAGCTGCAGGCGCTGGAGCGCGTGTTCGAGCGCACGCACTACCCCGACGCCTTCGTGCGCGAGGAGCTCGCCCGGCGCGTCAACCTCAGCGAGGCGCGCGTCCAGGTGAGCATGACCCCTTAGGGGGCACCAGGGAGAGCCGCCTGAAGCGCACTAAGCCACCGCTCACCCAGGGTTATGCAATTGCCAAGGGGCGCGGGGTGTTTAAGAGCAGGAGGCCTGGAGTTCAAATCCAAACCTTGCTACTTAACTAGCTGTGTGATCTTAGGCAAGTTATTTACCCTCTCTGTGCTTTCATTCCTCCATGCAAAATAAACACACGGGTCTATTTTGTAGGGGTCTATGACAGTTGAGGGAGTTAATATTTTTGTAAAGTGCTCAGAACAGTGCCTGACAAGGACTTTAATAAGTAAAAGCCACTTGAAGTTTGCAGCTTTACCTGCACCAGCTGAGCTGGGCGTTCAGGTGCACCCCCTCTCCTTCAGCCTCGGGCTCAGCTCAGCCTCCTCACTCACCCACCCAGCGGGTGCCTCTTGTCATCCCTATTTGCAGAGGTGGAAGCAGGCGGCAGGGCGGGCACACACCCAGGTCCACGACCCCAGCCCCTCCGGCTGCCCTGCTGCCACTCACCGCACCTCCCGCCCCAGGTCTGGTTCCAGAACCGCCGCGCCAAGTTCCGCCGGAACGAGCGGGCCATGCTGGCCACGCGCTCCGCCTCGCTGCTCAAGTCCTATGGCCAGGAGGCGGCCGTCGAGCAGCCGGTGGCCCCGCGGCCCACCACCCTGAGCGCCGATTACCTCTCCTGGCCCGCGTCGTCCCCTTACAGGTGAGATGGGGCCCTTGGGGCTGGACGGGGGCTGCGGGGCTCCCATGGGGCACTTAGGGCCCAGACCCCCTTGGGGACCTGAGGGCTTGGCCCCACCAAGTGGCCTGCCTGTGCGCGTGTGTGCGCTCGTGAGCGTGCGTGCGTGCGGCTGTCAAGAGAATGCACACACCTGGGTGTGAGGCGCGGGCGAGAGTCCAGCCTGGGTGTCAGGGGCGTGTGCGTCTACGTGCCCACCGCGGGTCCAGGAAGAGGGGACGCCAGGTCTCCAGCACGCTGTGTCCACTCTCCAGGTGAGAACTGAGGGAATGGCCTTCCTGTCCCATGGTCCTGGCTGGGCCCAGAGTCAAGTTCTAGGATAGTTTTTTTTTTTCCCCTTCAAATTAAAAGGGGTCTGCAGTGAGCTGGCAGAAAGAGGGAGAAGCTGGGGCCAGGCCCCGGGGCGCAGGCTGGCAGGGGCACCACTGGCCGTGGTCTGGGTGAGCAGCCCTGCTGCGGTGGCCTGGGAGGCAGTGGCTGGGCTTGCGAGACCCCATCCACACCGCTCTCCCTCACCTGGGCCTGAGGGACCACCAAGGGCGCCCTGTGACACAGGCCCCACGGGGCCAGGCCCAGAGCTGGCTTAGGGACAGCGGTGCCCCGGGGACTGTTCTTGGGAGGGTCAGCAAGGAACGTCCACAAATAAAAGGCTCCTTAGACCCAGCGTCCTCCCAGGTGTTTCTGACCCCTGCCTCCTTCCCAAGTCCTGCAGCCCAGCCCTGCGCCCCAGGCACAGGCCCCGGCAGAGCAGGCTGGGGGACAAGGTGACCCGAGGCAGCAGGCCAGCTTCACTGACCCCTGTGTTTCCTGTCCCCCTAGCTCGGTGCCACCCTACAGCCCTGGGGGCTCAGGCCCCACCACCCCAGGGGTCAACATGGCCAACAGCATAGCCAGCCTCCGCCTCAAGGCCAAGGAGTTCAGCCTGCACCACAGCCAGGTGCCCACGGTGAACTGACAGGCAGGGACCCAGCGGCCCTGGCCTGACACAGGAAAGAGGACAGCTGGACAGGAAGTGGCCCTCCTGTCCCTGTGCCCAGGGCTGGCCAGCGCTCCTACCCACATCTCCAGCCTGGACTCCTGAGCCCAGAAGGCCCCAGGGCACCCAGAGTGCGGCTCGGCGCGTCTGTCGGCAGCAGCTGGAGACCGCCACCCTGGCCCGCAACGGGCTGGGCTGGACAGGAGCCCGCCAAGGACCTCGATTACTTTGTGTATTAAAACCAAAAGGCTTTGTCTTTAAGAAATAAAACCATTTTTTTTTTAAGCTCCAAAAGGTCCTGGGAGGGTGGATAAGAGGAGCTGGGACCCCGTGGGATTGATGGACCTTCTGGGACCCTTCTCTGGCCTGCAGCAGTCACAGGGCCACCCTGGGCCTGGCTCAGACCAGCCGTCTCGGAGGCACACTCGCACAGTCCCTTGGAACGGTCACCCTGCAGGGCCCACGGCTGGGGGCTGGGGTAGGGGACAGAAATCTGCCCTGGGCTTCATCTCCCATTCTGAACCCTAAGGGACCCTTGCTGTGTGACGGGGCGGGGGCACCCCCACTCTATGCTGGGACAGGATAGACAGCCACTGATTTCTGAGTGGCGGGATGGAGTGTGGGTGATGCTGGATTAGGTTCCCCTCTTCCTGGGACACCGAGGCATGGGACAGCTGTCCCCCCCCAAACCCATTCACAAACAATAACTGGAGGTGGCAGAGGACACACGTGCCACCAGTGACACTGCTTAGGAGGGACCTGCATAGTCTGGGTGGCCAGAGTGGACGGAGGCTGCCCCACCTCCTGCCGGCTCTTCTGGGTGCTCACCCTCCAGGGGAGGCGCAGACCCCAGCCCAGCCCAGGGGCACTGGACGATCTGCACCCGGGAGCCTCAGGTTCAGACCCCGGCCCCGGGGTGGGGACACAGCCCGTGATACCTGGATGGGGGGAACACGATGAGCAGATTTGCCATATCTACCCAAAAGTGCTAGCCGTGGGCCCCACCTTCTAGATGGCCTCAAGCAGGCAAGGCCTCGATGCTATTGCAGAACACGTCGCCCGTCTCCCCTCAGCCGACACCCCACACACCTTTGTTTTGGTGCTAGGGACAGAACCCAGGGCCCCGCGCGTGCTCAGTAAGTGCTCTGCCACCGAGCTACGCCTCCAGCCCTGAAGTCCTCGATTCTGTTTGAGAGGTCTGTGGCCACACTGAGGGACCTGGGGACCTCCCATCCCTGCGGCCCCAACACACCCTTCATTTGCTCCCCATACTCCATCTGCAGTTGGGCCATGGGGACCTGGCTCCGGTGGCTTGAGCGTGGCCCCTTCAGAGGAGCAGGGTCAGTGGGCAGCTGTGGCAGGAGGCTCCTCGGAGGCAGGAGAGCCTGGGCTCCAGGACACCTGGCGAGGCCCAGAGCTCGGTGGCGGCGCCTCCCGTCCTCCTGCCTCTCCGCCCCTCCTCACACCTTGAAGCTCCGTGAAGAGTGGGGCTGGGGCTACTGGCCAGAGATGGGCTCCCACAGGTGGGGCCTGAAAGGTGGGTCCCAGGAGCGCCAGCCTTGGGGAGGGTCAGGGCCGGTTCCAGGGCAGCCCAGGGCCACTGGACCACGGAGACGTCCACCCCACGCCCTCCCCGGTGCTGCGGGAAACAAGCTTGCCTTGCCTGGAGGACACGGAGGACAGAGCCTCACACCCTGCTGAGCTAGGGGGCACTCACTGCAGGTCCTGGGCACCCTCCCCGCGTCCCTTCCCATAAGGCCAAGGGCCCCAGGCCCCGTCCAGTTGGGCGGAACCCACACTCTGTCTGCCTGCCTTTGCCTGTTGGCCAGGTGAGGCTGGGAGGGGACATTGTGTGTCCACTTTTATGTGTTATGTGAATTCAGGAGGGAGGGGGAGGGTCACAGAAGTGAGGGTCACAGAGACAAAACTCTTGCAGAAACCCAAACCAGAGAAACCAAGGCCAGAGTTTCTGGCTCCGTGACCTTGAGCCACGCACTGTTCCAGGACCTGGTTCCCTCCTCTGTGAAGTGGATGATCTCAGAGGCCACCACCCAGGGTTGTGGGCCCCGACCTGGGCCATCTGTGGGCACAGCAGTTCCTTACAGTGGAGGAGGACAGAATGAGGGGTGGGGTTGAAAGGGGTCAAAATCTCCTGCCCTGGCATGAAAATGCACTCTCCCTGACCAGGAAACCCTGCGCCCGGCCCAGGGCTCCCCCAGGTTCCCTCTGTCCCACCCCACTCCTGGGGAACCCAACAGAGGGACTAAAACCAGACCGGTGCCTCTGGCTCCTGCGCTCCTGGTGTCCACCACTGGAGGGCGCTGCGGGGCCGCAAAGCGGGGCTGGCCGCAGGCTCCTTCAGGGCCGGGGTAGGAGCCCCACAGCATTTTGGAAACGTTGCAACAGCCATGTAAATGTTCGCCCAGTCATTCCTCCTCTGAGCCCGCATTGAGCTGTAACCCAAAGCAGGGAAAAGCAACGCGCACAGGGCGTTTTCCAACTACTTATAAGTGCGAGGTAAAAAATCTGGGAAGCCACAAACCAAACATAAATGGCTTAAATTACATGGTGTTCACAGTCCACTCATCTGCACATTATTATAATGACTTCATAGAAAAATAAAGCTATCCAAAATAATGCAGGTCACTGAGCTTTTTTTCTTTTTCTCTTCTTTTTCCGTTGATCTTGGTCTCCCGAGTTGCTGGGATCATAGGCAAACACCCCAGCGTCTGAGGGTGGTCCCCCTTTTAAGCTGCAAGTGCTGGAAAGAGTGTGTTGGAGAACCTCGGAGTTCTTAGTTCACATCTTGGAAGGGGATTGGGTGGAAGTTAGAATACGAGGTGAGGAATGGGCACCTCAAGGTCAGAAAGGGGCCAGGGAAAGACTGTGTGGTGGGCAAAGTGCTAAGAAGGTCCCGTGTTCCGCCCCCAGTCACCCCATCTTAGGATCCCTGTCCTGGAGTATGAGTGGAGACCAAGGCTTGCTTCCACCTAACAGAGGGTGGCAAGGGGAAGGGACCTTTCAGGTGTGATTAGGCTCCATCATCAGTCGCCTTTGACTCAATCAAAAGTGAAATTGCCCTGGGTGGGCCTGTACTAATCAGGTGAGTCCTTTAGTAGATGAGTGGGTCCCTCCTGAAAGAGCTAGGGCAGATACACCCTCCTGCTGACCTTGAAGAAGCAAGCAGCCATGCATGATCTCAGTTAGGAGCCCAGGGCCTCACTCTCACCACCACAAGGAACCCAATCTGGCTACAATATAAATGCACTGGAGACCTTAGATGGAACCTCAAGTGGGTGAGGCTCCAAGGGCACCTTGAGAGACCCTGAGCAGAAAGACCCAGCTGAGCCCAGTCTCCTGGCTGAGACGCTGGGAGATCCCACGTGTTGTTTACACTTATAGTTTGTGACTCAGCAGTGGGAAGTGGTCCTGAGCAGGGATGGGCTTGTAAGCCCCATCAAGGTCACAGTCAGAAACTCTGCCTTGGATTCTCTGGTTTGGGTGTTTGCAGGAGTTGTCTCTGGGACCTCCCCTGAGGCCCTCCCCGCCCTCCTTTACTTCATATAACACATAAAAGCCGACACACACAGGGCGCCCTCCGCCTGCCTCGGGAGAGACCAGATGAAGCGTCTGTTTACGGTCCTGCCCAGCGACAGCCCCCTGTCCCCCTGCAGACGGTCCGGCTGCCCTAGATCTCAGCTTGACTGTGTCGCCCCCCTGCCTAGAGCCTGCCTTGGCTCCCCAGGTCACAATCCTGCTCCTCCCACCCCAGCATCGCTGCCAGTCAGCCCTGGCGACTCAGCACCTCTGCCCATCCACTGTGCCCGCTCCTCCCAGGCCTGACCAGCAACGTCCTCCCACCAACCCTCTCCAGCAAGAAGCCCTCCCTGTGAGCGCTCCAGGGTCATGGTGACTTAAAACACCCAGGTCAATTCTAGATGTCAGCAGATCTAACTTAACGAGAGCTAGAATTTAATGTCATTATTTTCTATTTGGAAAATAGAAAGAAATGCCTCCTGGTTTTCTTTGCATTGGATGTCCACACTTGAAATTCCCTGCTGGGAAGGCACAGTGGCCACACCTGTGATCCCAACAGCTCGGGAGGCTGAGGAAGGAGGATGGAGAGTTCAAAGCCAGCCTCAGCCAGAGTGAGGTGCTAAGCAACTCATTGAGCCCCTGTCTCTACATAATACAAAATAGGGCTAGGGGGGAAAGAGGGGGCTGGGGATGTGGCTCAGTGGTCCAAGTGCCCTTGAGTTGAAGCCCCAGGACTCCCCCAGAATTAAAGTCCCTTCACTGAGCAGACTTAGCCCCCCCACACACATCTAGGGGCAGTTGCCACCAGGAAGCGGACCCTCCCCAGCAGGGTGAGGACCCTCCCCTAGGCTCCCACCCCAATCAGGGTGCTCAGCACTTGGTGCTGTCTGTTCTGCCCCCCACCCACTGGAGCTGCAGGGGACAGGGCTGCCCAGTGTCCCAGGAGGCACCATGTGAGATGAATGAGGGGGTGCCTGGGGGGCTGCGAGGCCACCTTGTGTGACAGATGCCCCTGCTCCCAGCACATGGCAGGCTCTGAGGAGGGCTCCGGCCCCCACAGCCAGCAGGGAAAACCAACATACAAATGCCCAGTGGCACCTGGACTGTCCCTGCCAGGGCTGTGCCTGCCCCCCCCCCCCAGCACATCCTGGCTCAGGGAGATTGGTCAGGTCACCTCTCCACGTCCTCACCTAAAAGGCAGAAATGTCCTCCTGGAATTGTTTTAAGGAGGAGGCGAGTGTGCGTGTGCGGAGGGCCGTGTCCAGCCTAGACCCGGGGCTTCTCTCCAGATGCGGCCCCGCAGCTCAGGAGCAGAGGCTCCATCTCACCACCAGGGGTCAGTGTTGCCCACGCCCAGCTCCACGGCACCAGGACCAGCCTGTCTTCTGTAGAGGCCAGGGTCCCCCAGCCAGGGAGCCACCCGCAGCCAGGCAGCGCGGCAGGGCAGGGAGAGCGCAGCGCCACAGCCTAGAGGTTCAGAACCTGGGTAGAGCAGACCCGGTCCCTCAAGGTATCTGCCTCCCGGGATCCTCTGTGTCCTGCAGCTAATGACATAGGGCCATGAGGTGGCAGGTGACCTGGTCAGGGCAGAGTGAGGATTCCTGAACCCCAGACCAAGCGCCACCTCACCTGCCCTGGGCAGGGAGGAAGGACGCTCGCTGGCTTGGAGCGGCCCACTTGCTGTGTGACCCAGTCAGGGGGTCTCCGTGCCAGAGATCATGTCCTGCCAGATTGGCCCCGGACACCCAGCAAGCTGCAGTACCAGGCCAGAGGGACAGTGGCAGACGCTAGGAACAGCCAACAGGAAAGGGCAAGAGGCGGTGGCCACAGGGTCGGACAGTACTGTTTAATGATCAAAAACCCACCACACAACCAAGACAGGAACCTAGGACACACACACACACACACACACACACACACGGATCCCCACAGGGTTGGAGGCTCACAGTGGAAGCACACCCGGCCGCCCCAGCCCAATCTCTGGAGGGGACGGCTCCTCCCAGGCCTGGCCACCCCGGGACCCTCTTGGCAGCTGTTGTAACACACAGAGGGCGGGTCTTGCTCCAGACCAGCTGGGCAGGGGCTCTGGGATGGCTCCACACTGCAGCCCTGGACTGGACGATGGCAGGTGCAGGCACCCTGAAGGGTGTCCCCTCTCGTCGCTGGGGAGGGGGCAGGAGCGGGTCACTGCTGTTGCTGAACAGGATTTTCTACCAACCCTGCCATGGGCCACTTCACCCAGGAGCCCACAAGGCTGCGCCAGACACTCACACTCACACGCAGGGCTCACAGGCCACCAGCTCAGGGGTCCACACCCCCAGCAGGGGCCGTGGGAGCCAGGACCCGGAGCCCATCACCATCTGGAAGGGACACCAGGTCCCCAGGGACAGTCACAGCGGCTCTTGCCCATGGTCTGGTGGCCGAGGAGGACTCAGCTGCTGGTCACAGGTGGCGGGCTGCTTCCCAGAGGATCTGCAGGGCCATGGAGACGCAGGGCAGCTGGGCCAGGGTGTAGGACACGGAGCGGATGGGTGCCCGCAGCTGGCCCAGGTAGGCCCAGGTGTGCACCAGGCGGCCGAGGAGGAAGACGAGGAAGTGTGCCCAGGCCACCACAGGGTGCGGCCCCAGGAAGGAGTAGACCAGGCCCAGGAAGAGGAAGGGGTAGATGGTCTCCATGTCGTTCCGGTGCGCTCTGGGGAGGAAAGGGGGGTGGTCAGCCGGGCGTCAGCGCGGGGGACACTGTCTTCTGAGACTGTCAGGGAGGCTGGGACTGTGCCCCTGAAGGGCCGATCCACTGGGGACTTTGAGGGGTTCCAGACACTCGGGCCACCCCAAGGCCAGGACAAGGCCGAGTGAGAGGGACAGTGGCTGCTTGCTTCTGTCCGAGACAACCAAGCCCTGTGACAGGCCAGGGGGTGGCATACCACAGCCTGGGGCTTGTGCGGACCTGGCCCCTGCCACTCGCCCATCGTCTCTCTGGCCTTGGACACCAGGCAGGAAAAGCAGGGTAAGAGCTGGGGCTCTGGCCTCCATGGGGTCGGCCTCCCTCCCCTCCCCTCTCCACAGGAACTGAGTCAGACCCGCGCCGCCCCCTGAGTGCAGGCTCCGTCCCTGCGCCTGGCTGTCTCCTGCTCTGAAATCTAAGAGCCACCTCCTCAGGGGTGAGGACAACAGGATGGGGCTGGGCTGACTGGATGCAGCCCAGCCCCAGGGCCCGGGCACGCCTGCCTTGCACTGTACGTGTGGCCGATGGGCTGCCCAGACCCTGCCATAAGTACATGGCCAAGAAAGAAGAGGCCCCCTGCCCACCAGCCCTGGCTCACTCTCCATGAACCCTGGTGACGGTCAGCTTTCCCTTTGGAGGGTGGGGAGGCCGTGTTCCAAGCAAATTCCCAAAGCCATAGTGACCACGTGGGATGTTCAAATAAACAGGACCCCAGTGCCCTAGCTGTGACCCCCAAGACAGGCCGCGGGTACGTTTCATGGGGACTCTGCTGGAACAGATGCCCCTTCCCAAGCCTGCCAGCTGGATGCACCTCACCAGCAACTCTGGGTCACCGGGCCAGGCCCAGCCCAGCAGCCCCTGCATGGTGATGGACTTGGAGGCCACCTCTTCCCCACACTGCCAAGAGGAGTCTTAGACAAAGGCCACAGCATGCTGCCTGACCAGAAGAAAAGCAGGCAGAGCAGGGGAGGGAAGAAGACATTTGCGTTGAGCCTTAAGGGTAGGAAGCTGGCCATGTAAGAGAAGAACATTTTGCCTAGCACTTGCAAAGGCCCTGGGGTAGGAATAAGCAACAAGCATTCACAGGACAGAAAAGTGATCCTGTGCTAGAATGTGCTGCAGGGGACGGAGGGAGGCAGATGACAGTGGGTGATAGGCTTGCAGAGCAGGACACTGAATTTTGTTCTGAGTGTATGGAGCCTTCCTGAGCCCAGCAGGGGCTGGGTCTTTCTCAGGATGCGGCAGCTGGCCTCTGTCTCCCTGAGACCAACACCGGCCTTCTTTCTCCTTTTATCGTGATCCTTGACCTTGCAACCCAGCCATGGGGAAAGCAAGTCTGCAGCTGGGTGGGTCAGGTGTCCCTCACCATGGGGAGCCTGCTGTCCCCCACACCAAGGAGGGAGCTGGGGTGCATCCTGGGGGTGCACAGGGAGGAGGCAGCCAAGGCCTGCAGCCACGGCTGGTCCCCAAACAAGTCCCTTACCCTGCTTGGGAGTCATGAAGGAAATGATGGGTTTTTCCCAAAATCACTGCACCTAGGACACAGTCCACCAGAATCTGCCACCTATGGGTGGGAGGGACACCCTTGGAAACCCCAGTGAGCTAAGCATGTCTGAAAACAAGGTCTGCTGCCAGTGACCACACTCAATGCCACCAGGAGACCCTTCGTGAATTGCATATCCGTTTAGGAAAAGCATAACTAGGCCTGGTGCAGTGGTGCACACCTGCAATCCCAGCCTGGGGAGGCTGAGGCAGGAGGATCACAAGTTCGAGGTTAGCAAGGCCCCAGGCAACTCAGAAAGACCCTCACTGAGGATGTGGCTCTGTGGTTAAGCACCCCTGGGCTCGATCCCCGCCCTCCCTCCCCTCCCCCCATCAAAAAATGTCCCACTGGGGGAGACGCTTATCCACCCAGAGGCCAGTTCTTCGGGCAGAAAAGCCAACAGGGCCAAGAGCGAGGGGCCCGCAGACCCCGGTGTGGGGAGGCAGCAGGGCCCTGCAGATCCCTGGGAACCCGAGCTGCCTCCCAGCCCAGCCACTGGGCACCCCCAGGAGGCAGGTCCCCGGTGGGAGAGGGGGGGCGTGGAGACTCTGGACCTCGGCAGCCTGCCCTCCCTCCCTCCCTCCCTGTCTGGCCTCAAACCGCAGCAGGGCCCCCGGGAGGCCACCGTGGAGCCAGGACAGGGAGCAAGGGGAGACCACGGCCCTCCACCTCCGCCCGCAGGATCGCGGTGGAGACGGTGGAGACGCGGAGGGAGTCACGTAGGGAGACGCAGGCGGAATGTGTCATCCCAATAACAAGGCTTCTAAGCTAAGTCACCAAAGGCCACGAGATGGGACATGCAGGGCTCCGTAGCACGGCCCGCCCCCGCCCTCAGCAGCAGCTGGACACAGAGCCCTTCACTGCGACAGGTGACTGCTGTGGGGAGCGGTCTGGCCAGTGCCGCGGGTCACTCAGAGTCCCCCTTCGGCTCCCCTAACCCTTTCCTGGAGCTCAGCTGCCTGGTGACCAGGGGGTCAGACCGCTCAGCCCTGCCCAGGGCTTCTTTGTGTGGATGCTGCTGGGCTGCAAGAGGCGACACCACCTACGTGCACCTTAGGCCAGGGTCGTCACCACCATCACCACCGCCGCCGCCGGGCTGGACACAGCTGCCAGCCCCCGTCTGGGTTTTGCCACACTCCTGATGGCCTGGGCCGCCCAGGCCAAGTGGATAAAGAGCATCTCTGCTCAGCGGGGGCCTCCAGTGCCGCTGCGGAACCCACCGCTGCCGCCTCAGGCAAGTCTGCCTCTCTGGGACTGAGTCCGCCACCACAAAGTGACCCCCCTCAGTAACATCTAGGGGACTTCCAGGCTGACATTTTGGGGTCCAATGCCCTGACAAACCTGTTCTCTTCAATTAAAACTACACATTCCTGCCGGGTGCAGTGGTGAACTCCTGTAATCCCATTGGCTGGGGAGGCTGAGGCCCGAGGATCACAAGTTCAAAGCCAGCCTCAGCAACGTAGTGAGGCCCTGTCTCAAAATGAAACATAAAAAGGGCTGGGGACTGGCTCAGTGGTTCAGGACTCCTGAGTTGGACCCCTGATACCAAACAATCAACAGCAAAAGCCACCAAAACCCAAACTACTCCTTCAGCCAAATGCAGTGGCATGCGCCTATAACCCCAGCAGCTCAGGAGGGGACAGCAGAAGGATCACTAGTTAGTTGGAGGCCAGCCTGGAAACAAACCAGTTCCAATTCCCAGAACCACCAATAAAATAAGAGTTCAATGCTCACCATTCTTCTCAGGGGCCACCTGGAAAGCCACATTGCACCAGGCACAGCAGCACACGCTGGTCATGCCAACAACTCAAGAGGCCAAGGCAAGAGGACCTCTACTTCATGGCCAGCCTGGGGAGACCTTATCTCAAAATAATTAAAAGAAGGGGAGGTAGAGCCCAGTGGTTACGTGCCTACCCCTCGCCAGGAAGTGTGGACCGTGTCATAGGAAGACAGTGGCCTGGACAGTGGCCTTTTAAACCTGCTCCCTGCTGTCTCCCGGGGCCAGGCTGAGCTGTGGCTCCCGGTGAGCTACTCTGCAAGGCCAGTTTGAACCCCAAGAACCAGGACCCAGCGCTTTCCAGAGCGGGCGGTTGGGAGGCCTCCTGTGTGCATCAGAACCCTCGGTCTAATGTGTAACTTGCCACTGCCTCGGGCTCCTTCTTGGGCTCAGCCAGGAGTGGCAGACACGGGCTCTTAGTTCTGCACCCTCAAGTCCCCAGGCTGCTCCAGAAAGTCAGGTGGCAGGAGGAGCCCCGGGGATCCAGGTGCCACCTGTGCAGAGTAGCTCCCCAATACATCAGTGAATGGATATAAAGCACGATTAGAGAAGCGGTCCTCATAACGTGCCAGCTTGAATCTCAGCACTTAACATCAGCACTAGATGACAGGTCCTTTTGTTGAAAACACTCAGCCCACACAGGCCTCTAGTCTCTCCCAGACACGTCTTGCCACCCAGGACCAGCCACAACACGTCCTCTAGATAGCTGCCTAGACCTCTCATCTCTTCCCTCCCCAGGGCCCAGAGAGTCCCCAGGGATGAGGGTGGCACAAGGGTCAGCAATGTGGGGCCAGGTGTGGGGAAGGCATGCAAAGTCTTCAGCATAGTAGGTGCTCATTAAATGGTGGATGGATGGATGGGAGCTCAGATGGAAGGTTGTATACCATAGTTCTGTTAGAAAGGGTAGGACAGCAATGGACTTCACTTCCTATGACACATCTCTGTAATTTGTTAAAACCACAAGTGTGTATACTGTTGTCAATGGCTAAGAAAAACATAAGGAAAAAACCCACAGACTTTCTTTGCAGAAGAAAAGTTCCTATTATTAAAGTGATGGCATTCTGCCCATTTCCGCCTGTGATGCATGGGGACGTGCTGGGACCTGTGTGATGGTTTGTCTCCTGTCTCACCCCTGTCCAACTACTCCTCAGTCACTCCCTCTGTCCCGCAGAGGTGTGACTACCTCTCTTGCCTGCTGGTGAGAAGTACCGGGCAGAAACTGCTACAGACTCCCATAATCACCCTAACCCTAACCCTGCTTAGGTGAACTTATTCTGGGCAGGAATTTTACCCAGGTCCCCACATCTTTTTTTTTTAAGCTAGAGATTGAACCCAGGGCACTTAACCACTGAGCCACATCCCCAGCCCTTTTTACTTTTTATTTTGAGACAGGGTCTCACTAAGTTGCTGAGGAAGATAGTGGCCTTGCAATCCTCCTGCCTCAGCCTCCTGAACCACTGGGGCTACAAGCCCGTGCCCCATGCCCGCACACAGCCTCTTTTAAAGAATCATTTTGCAAGTACTAGTTACTGACATGGAAAGTGCTCATGAAAGAACTTTCCCTGTAAAAGATCAGGACCCCAATAGTGTTGACAGAATTTTATGAACAATATTTGCACATAGAAGACAAAAGACGAAAACGTCAACAGTCCTAGAATTGAGTGGTTTCCCTGTCTCTTTGTATTCTCAGTAATATCCAAATTTTCCACAATGAGTAGTTCTGAGTTTTATGATAAGGAAAAAAAACCTGTTTTTTCTGGGGAATGTTAAGCATCCAAAAAAAAAATGTTTACCTTCCTTCAGAATAAAAGAAATGCAAACTGAAGTGGCACCCCTCGCATTGGCAGGGATCCACCATCAAACAGGACGGCCCGCTGCGTGGGCAGGGGTTGCCAGGACGGGATTTATGCGCATGCGCAACGCTTCCTACACCTGCAGTTTTGCGCACAGGTGCTCGTGGAGGAAGACAAGGTGCCCGTGGAGGAAGACAAGGTGCCCTGCGCTCTGTTCACCATGGAGGAGGACAGGGCCAGAGGCCCCTCGGAGGGGAGCTGGTCAGCCTTATCAGATCAGTGCACCATTCTGAGGTGACCAAAGAGGCCCCTCTGTGAGTCCCCGGGAAACCACCTCTGTGCTCGGGACTCGGCCCTGGAGAGCAGCGACGAGGCTCCCGGGGAGGACACGGGGCGGGCCCTGCGGGGCAGACGGGGCACACCTGGAGGCCGGGGCACACCTGGAGGCCGGGTGGGAGGGAGACTACATTTCTCTGAACATCCTTTGCTAACTTTGGAGTTGAGACATGAGCATGTTTTTTTTTTTTTCCCAAGATTAATTAGAAATTAAATCAGCGGATGGATTAAAGCTGTCAGAGGGAGGAAGGAACGCAGAGACCTCAGCCTCCCGGAATCCCGAGGTGCTGAGGGGACCTGAAGGACAGGCTGTGTGGGGCCAGGCCGGGGTGGAGGGTACTTGCCTGAGACAACGCTCCACGTCAGGGTCGCTTCGGCAGAACTGGAGGCCACCGTGTCTCAGGGCATCTTCGGGGTTGGCGAAAGCCTGAAACACCAGCCAAGAACCATCATCAGGGGGACAGCCAGGCACCAGTCTGTTTTGCTCATGGACAGAGTTCCCAGGGACACAGCAGGGGCGCAGTCACCCCACCCCCCAACTCAGCCAGCAACCATGAGCTCCTCCTCAGCAGAGGAAGGAGAGGAGGGGCAAGGAATGGAAAGGAAGAGAAGCAGACTTGGCCTTGGGAATGTTCACAGGGGACCTGAGACTCTGGGGTCAGAGATGGGACAGTGGGACAGTAGTGGTATTATTAAGGCTGAGGCTGGGTGGATACCCTGACACTAACCAGGTGCAGGGAGGGCTGGAGCAACCACATTCAAGGCAGAAGTCACAGTGTGTGCAAAGGCCCTGAGGCTGGAAGAAATTGAGCAGTTTTGTAGAACAGCAAACCAGTTTGGTTGAAGCAGAGAGAGCAAGGGACAGGGACCCAAGATAAAGTCACAGAGGACACCAGAGGTCCTGAAGCTGTAACTTTGGTCCATTTTATGCTTTGAATACAGCCCTTGCTGCTCCGCCACTGGCCTTTTTAAAATGAGACCTTTCTTTCTCTTCCTTTCTCCCTGCTCTTCCCTAATCTCAGGGGAAACAGGGTCACCTTTCTTCCCCATTCTAGGCAGAGTTACGGGGCCTGGGGCACACACCCACCACAGGAACCAAGTCATCCAGACTTTGGGGATGGCACCAGATCTCAGAAATGAACAGCTCCCAAATTAACAAGCGAGTCCTAACTCTGGACAGAGAACGCGGGGGAATTCAGCTTTGAGTCCCCTCTTTGAAAGCCCCCTGTTCCTGCTGATGGGCAGAATCACAGTCTCTGGGACAGGAGACCCCTGTGCTTCTCCTTTACTAGCAAAGCAGTAAAACTTCTTTTTCCTTCTTCTCAGAATCTTGTTTAGTTATTGGATTGGCGGATGAGGATGGAGCTTTTGGGATCAGTACCAACACAGAGAGATTCCCTGGGGCTGGGGACACATGGTAGCAGGTCAAGCCCTTTGAAATTTCTAAGTTGCAAAATAATTAAAAGTTAAATTAAAAAAAAAATTCCCCAAGCAGTTCAGGGGCTGGGTGTGGCTGGGGTGGGGGAGGTCCTTGCCTGGCAGGGAGAGGCTAAGCCCAGTAAACAGCAGCGGGAGGCGGCTCCTGATCCTCCCTGTGCCTCAACTTCCTCCTCAGGAAGCTCAGAAGGAAACAGAGCTCCAGGTGGCGGGCGTGGGCAGAGGCCCCACAGGAGAAGGGCGCCCAGGGAAGGTCAGTCTTTCTCACTGGAGAGCAGAGATGTCCCACCACATACAGGTCATCGAAGGCCCTGTCACACTGTCCCCACTGGCCCCCAGGCAAACAAAATCAACCCTGCAGATCTAGCAGCACAAACAGCAGACCCTAAATCTCAGCAGCAGGTTTCTAACTGCTCACCTGCACCAAACCCACCCTCTGGCTCAGGCTCCCCCCAGGGTGGGTTTGTCCTTCCCAGTGGGCCTGCCCCTGCCCTGCCCCGCCCTGCCTGGCCCCCGGCAAATCAGGCTCATCAGGAGGATGACAGCTCCCCTGCTCTCTGCGGGTCCTTAAGTCAATGTATCATGGACTCTGAAAGTCCCAGGCAGAGTCCTGGGTCCCCGACACCTTTCTAAGGGTCTCTGCATTCGCAGGTGCGGGCCTCTGGAGCCCATGGCCACAGGTTGTTCTTCTGGCCAATGTGGTTCAAAGACAAGTAGGCCTGGCCAGGGGCCAGCTGCCCTGCTGACCAGAAGCCCAGGGGGTCGGATGTCCTGGCTCTAGTGGAGCCAGAGGCCCGGCCTCTGGACGCTCTCCCAGTGACCCCTGGCTGCTGGGGTTCTCACAGTCACAGTTACTAGTAAATCACGAGGACCACCATCTGGGAGGCTCTGCTCTGTGCAGGGAGCTACCTCCCCAGCTTGCCCCGGGGCCCAGGCTGCCTCTGTCAGCTCTGCTCCATGCTCTGCCCCAGGTCCTTCGCGACAAGGGCAGAAATGAGAGGGGTGCTTGGCCTTGAGGAGCTGCCACCCCAGCCCAGGCCGCCCCTTGGGTGGTTTCCTCCTGCCTGGCTCTGCTGCTCAGAGGCCCGGAAAGGGTCACCTCCGCCCTTCTCTGAGTTCACCTGTTTGAAAGGAGACTTCTGGGCCTGTGTGGGGGCACAGGCCTGCAATCCCAGCCGGGGAGGCTGAGGCAAGAGGGTAATGAGTTCAAAGCCAGCCTCAGCCACTCAGCAAGGCCCTGCCTCGAAATAAGAAAAAGAATTGGGGTGCAGCTCAGTGGTCAAGCACCCTTGGGTTCAGTCCCTGGTAGCAAAAAAAAAGGAAACCACTCTGCCTGCTGTTCAGAACCACAGTGCCAAGACTGTGAGCTCAGGATCCAGGCACCTGGGTGTGGGATGTGATGTCTCCTCTCCCAGCCCAGAAATGTCAGGTGGAAATGGCTCCTCCCCAGGGCCCCCAGTGCTGTGGTGGGGAGTCCCGTTCAGCTCTGCAACCCCGACCCCAGGAAGGACTCTGGGTGAGGCAGCGCCCCTGCCCCATGCATGCCTGCACTCCAAGTCCTAGGCAGGTCAAGGTGGAGAACCAGTGGACTCCGGGTGGCCTGTTGTGGGCAGCACCTCTGCCTTTAATCTTGCCTGTGCTGCTCCAGGGGTTCACAGGGACCCCCGCCCCCAGGGCCCACCCACACACAAGCCAGAGGCAGCCTCCCTTGCACTTCATGAAAGGAGTCTTCTATTGTACCTGGGCCCCGAATGCACAGGTGCCGGACTCTGGGGTCTAACAGGTTGCTGCAGACCCGCGGGGGCGGCAGGGGCCCTCCTGCCAGCCCTGGCCCAGCTCCTCATCATTATTTTGAATCAGGGACTTGGGTTAAGGGAGATTTCTTCCCCAAACACCCCGGTGGCGGGGGCCGGTGGCGGGGGCCAACCTGGCCTCGGGAGCCTGCGGCGGGCCTGGAGAGCTGCGGAGCGGGAATTTCCACTTTAATTTCTCGGCCTCCTATTTTGCGGGTCTCCACTCCACCCAGACACTGGGTCTCACTGCCAGGAAGCCACCAGATCGGACAGGAGCTTTGGGCTGTCAGAATCCCCAGCTGCGCCTTCCGGGACGTGCCAAGTCCCAACCTGGCAGCCCGGCAAGTCGGCGGGCCGCTCGCCCCGGGATCCTCCAGGGCGGGAGGGCGCAGCTCCAGGCCACTCACGCGCTGGCCCACCGCACACCTTGGCCACGACTGCTTGATGCCGCACTTTCCCCAGCGCAGCGAGAGGGACCGCCAGCGAGCCCAGGGCGGGGGCCCCGGGCGGCACGTACCTTCTTCCGCAGCCTCACTTGGCCTGTGATGACCGCCACCACGTACATCTTGATGACCAGCAGCGTGCTGCAGAGCAGGAAGGCCGGCAGAGTCGGCCCGCTCACCGTCGTCAGGCTTGGGGTAGGCATCGCGGCCAGCTGGCGGGAGCTCCTGCTCGGGTCGGCGCGACTGTGGGTCTGAGCGTCGGGGCAGAGCAGCCTGCAGGAATAAGAAGGAGGCGGGCGGGTGAGGGGCGGGGCTGCCTCCGGCCCCGCCCGCCCCGCCCTACCCCGCCCCTCGGCGGGCCCCCTCCTCCCAGGAGACCAAAGACAACTAGTGCGCGCAGATGCTTCCAAAGCTGAGCGCAGGGCGCGCCCACCCCCAGTCCTGGCTCTGGACCATGCTCCCAGGCGAGCCCTGGAGCATTTTCCAATCAGCTTCTTGTCTCCTCTGGGACATGGGCGTGCCCCACGCACAGCCCACCTCCGGGGCTGCAGCAAGGCGACCCCCTGGCAGCGTCTGCACTTGTGGAACCTGTTGCCGACCCGTTCCACCTGCCCAAGGGTCGCGGCAGGCAGCACGTGAGAACCAGGCCCCACACTCGCCCCAACGCTGGAACCACAGTCCCCAAACACGGACGTGACTGCGGGAAAAGTCCTTCCATAAACACCCCGTCCACATTCCCATACCCCAAACTGGCAAATATGTCACCTGGCGTGGCAGAAGGGACTCTGTAGATGGGACTCCATAAGGATCTCAAGACTCTAGGGCTGTCTGGATGCGTTCAGTGCCACCCCAGGCCCTTCTGGGAGGGGTGTTAGAATTGTCAGAAGCAAAGTGGGATGGACAGAGGAGGGGAAAGGGCAAATGGGCTCTGGGGAAGCCTGAGCTGCTGGCTTCCAAGCTGAAGGAGGGCCCCAGAGCCATCTTCCTCTGGAAGGTGGAAAGGTTCTATTCATTTGTTTATTTATTTAGAATTGGGGATTTGAACCCAGGGATGCTCTACAACTCAGCCACATCCTCAACCTTTTTTATTTTTTATTTTGAGACAAGGTCTCACTAAGTTGCTGAGGCTGGCCTGCCGCAGTCTGGCTGGGCACAAATGAAGGAGCCACCACACAGTTTGTAGGTTCAAACAGCAACTCTTTATTTCTGAACTCTCACCGGCACTCTACACACACACTTTCCGGGAACACACTCCCTCCACCGGGCTCCGCATGCCAATTCTCCCGGAACCCCTTGGGAACCCCTTGAGAACTCAATGGGAACTCCAAAGTAGCAGGCACCCAAGGCAGCAAGATCCGCCCTAAACCCAGCAGGATCCGCCCTAATCCCGGAGCCACCCTATTCCAGAGGATCCGCCCTAATCCCAGAACCGCCCTAATCCCAGAGCAGGGTCACCTTTCAACCATTCCCTCTAGCAAAATGCCAGGCATTCACTAAATTCACTAAACTGTGGCTCTCAACACCGGCCTCCAATATGTGATCCTCCTGCCTCAGCCTCCTGAGTCGCTGAGACCCCAGGCATACATCACCACACCTGGCTTAGAATCTGCAAAGGTGAGGACACAGATTGCTCCTCCCTGGAGCCCCTAGAAGGGACATGGCCTTGCCAATGCCTTGATCTTAGCCCTGTGAGACTTATTTCTGACCCCCAGAATTCAGGACAATACTTGGTATAGTTTTCAGCCTGGTGACTTGTATGGCAGCCATGGGAGCCGCATGTCACACCTGTCTTTGTCAGAACCTAGTTTTCTAGGAGACTTTCCTGAAAAGCCTTCAGCTCCTTATTAGAAAGCATGGACAGTCAGTGACTAGGATTCTCTGAGTCCCTCACCTGCTGGTCCCGCTCCCTCCCTGAGGCCTTGGCCATGGCCTTCTCCAGGTTCCCGCTCATGTCACTTTGCTGACACTTTAGGAGGTGCCCAGGGAAGAAGGAAGGAGAAAAATCAGTCTCTCGTGCTGCTCCACTCTTCCTCCCAAGCCAGTCCTTGAGGACAGCACTGGCCAGATGGACAGCAGGACCAGTCTGCCCTGGGCCCTAAAGCAGCAGAGAGCAAGGGAATGGCCGGCCTGAGCCAAGCTCAGCTGGCACTAGATCCCAGAGCCAGCCCTTTGCCGCAGCTGTGTGGTCTCGGGTGAGCAGATTCCCTCTCTGATCTGGTTCTCTGGGTTGTAAAACGCAGGTGAACGTCAGTTATTTCCCACAAACATTTTGGAAATTCAAAGGAATCGTCTACCCAGCCTCATTAGTAAGTACCAGGCACACAGTAGATCCTGCTTCATTCTGAGCCTCTGAGCCTCCATTTCCTCCTCCTTAAACTAGGGATACTAGTCCCTGTCCAGCCAGCTTGTCAGGAGGAGGACTGTTGGAAAGCCCCAGCCTGAGGCTGGGGGTGGGGTGCTCCTCGCCTGCTCACCAGGTGCCAAGGATTTCTTTATCTGGACAAAAGATGCACTTGGTAAACTGAAAGCCCAAAACATGAATTGCCAGGCCAGGCTGTCCCACCCCACTAGATAAATGGGAGGTCACCTTCAGGGACAGGACAAGGCAAGCAGGGGATGTCCTGACACACAGCTCATTCCTGGCTGCATGTCACAGGGGTCATGTGAGCGTTCCTTGTCACTGTTTTCTTCTGAGCACAGAGGGTGCCTGCCTTTCTTGGGCCCAGCGGGGGGGCCCTGCTGAGGGTGGCCATCTCCTCATCTGAAAGCTTATTTGGTGGGGCACAGAGTCACACACCTGCATTCCCAGCGGCTGTGGAGGCTGAGGCATGAGGATGGCACATTTGAGGCGAACCTCAGCAAGACCCTGTCTCAAACAATAAAAAGCTCTGGCATCCAGGCACGGTGGTGCACACCGTAACCCCACTGGTCCAAGGGGCTGAGGCAGGAGGATCACAAGTTCAAAGCCAGCCTCAGCAACTTAGTGAGGCCCTAAGCAACTCAGTGAGACCCTGTCTCTAAATAAAAAATAAAAAGGGCTGGGGATGTGGCTCAGTGGTATGACTGGGTTCAATCCCCAGGACCAAAAAAAAAATGGCTCAGTTTTAGGGGCAGGGTGCAGCTCAAGGGTAGAGCACACACAGGCCCTGGGTTCCATCCTCAGCATCACACAAAAGGAAAATAAATAAAGAAGAAAGAGCTCAATTGTGAGGTTACCTTGAGCCCAGAGCGAGAGGGATTTTTCAGGGAAATTCTCCTGACTGCGGTATGTGACTCTGGGGTAGACATGCTTCCTGTCCTCTGCTGAATGAACTGGCAAGCAAGGGCCTGGCAGGGAGGATAACCCTCCTCTGATCTCTGGCCAGGAATTTCAGTCAATGGAAGCAGCTACCCGTGTTTTGGGAGGCGGCGGTGACGGACGGTGACGGAGAGGTTGCTTCTCTCAGTTTCGCTTTCTTTGCTTTTAGGGGGTGGGTGTCCCCTGCCAAGCTGGGAGACGGAGGCAGGGAAATGAGGGTGAGAGAAGCTTCTGGAAGCACTTCAGATGCTGGTGACGCAGGGGGACACGGACATAAAATTCCCCCCGCCGTGTTTTCAGCTTGGCGCCGGGCCGCATTTTCTTCTAAACCCAAGGGAAGTTCTCCCCGTCAAGATCCTGCAACCCTAGACAAAGAAGGGTCCTTGTGTGGAAGCGGCCGTGGCCCCATGGCCCATCCCAGCTCCCTGGGGGGCATTTCCTGAGGATCAGAAAGCCCCTCTCCACGAGGGCTGAGGCTGGGCCTGGGGACATCAGAGGAGGAAGCGGCCCCACCTCGGCCACCGGCTCCTGATCTCCGACTGCTGCTGGGCTTTCCGTGCCCAGTGATGAGAAAGAGAAACCGACAGGGGCCAAAGTGACCTTTCAAGTGTGACCTGTACTGGAGTGGACCCTGCCCCAACTCATAGCCACAGAGGAGACCCTGCCAACAGCTCAGAGGGCGCTGCCCCAGGCTGCTCAGCCCTCCTGGGTGGAGGCCCGCCAGGAGAGGCCCTGGACTCCCTCAAGATGAAGAATTCAGGGAAAGGCCGGTGCTCCGTGGGTCGGCCCCCCTCTCTCTTCCCTTCTTCTGCAAGAAGGTAGCCTCTTCAAGGAACTGGGGACACTCTGGTGGGTTTCCAAACAGTGACCCCTCAGAAGGGCCTCCATTAGCCAGTGGCCATGGGACCCAAGCCCCTCCATCACTGTCTGGCCACAGTGGCTGGTCCAAGAAGGGCCAGTGGAGACCCTGCCTGGAGGTTTCTATGTCGACATGGGTAGAGAGGCCCTGGGCTCTGAAGCAGGCTGTGAATGGCTTTGGTCTGAAGGGAACCTGTGTCCAGGAGAAGAGGAGGCCCCGGTCTCTGACTCACCCAGGCCCAGAAGTCTAGGACTTTCCTTTTTTGCTTAAAAATAAATAAATAAGTAAAATCAGTCAAATTACATCCTATTCCCCCACACTTTGCCGTGGCTCCAGCTCGGGCAGTCCCAGTCCAAGTCTGGCCCTGGCCCCGGGCCCATCCCATCTGGTCTCCGTTTTCTCTCTGCAGGCCGCCTCCACTGTCTCCCAGCCACACTGTCCTCTCAAGAAGGCCACAATCCTGCCTCTGGGCCTTGCCTCTGGCTGGTCCCTGTGCCTGGCCTTCTCTTCCCCAGGGACCCTCTGGGCCGACCCCTGATCTCCTTCAAGTCTTCCCTTCAACCTGACCTTGTCCAGGGGCTCTGGTCACCTGATCAGTTCTGAGGAGGCCCTGGGGCCTTTCATGCCCCTGATTTGCTGGATTTCCATAGCTCTCAGCTCCCAGGCCAAGGCTCGAATTCTCTGGACCCTCCCTGCCCACCAGCTGTTTAGGGTAGGGACCTGGTTCACTGATGAACCAGCAAGGACTAGGACCAAGCTGACCGGTGGCCACAGCTGAAGAAGCTGATTTGGTTTGGATTTCTGTCCCTCAGAACCAAAAGAATCTAGACTGAGATAAGAGACACTTCTACTTTTCTTCTAGGAGATTGGCCCTGCCTACTTCCTGGAATGCCTGCGGGGGGGGGGGGGGGGGGGCGGGCGGCCCCTCTGCGGGGGGGAGGGCAGGAAGAGGCCCGTGTGTCTCGAGTGGGGCAGGGTGACGGTCAGGCTGGCATGGGAGCCGGATAACGGGGGCCTGGCCCCAGAACACCTGCCCTTGTAATCCTTCAG